TGTGATGTGAAAGGATGGGCTCTGTGATCTCATAGGATGGGCTCTGTTATCCAATAGGATGGGCTCGGTGATCCTGATAGGATGAGCTCTGTGATGTGATAGGATGGGTTCTGTGATGTGAAAGGATGGGCTCTGTGATCTCATAGGATGGGCTCTGTTATCCAATAGGATGGGCTCGGTGATCCTGATAGGATGAGCTCTGTGAAGTGATAGGATGGGCTCTGTGATGTGATAGGAAGGGCTCTGTGATCCTATAGGAAGAGCTCTGTGGTGTCATTGGATGGGCTCTGCAATCTGATAGGATGGGCTCCATGATCCTGATAAGATGGGATCTGTGATCTGATAGGATAAGTGTTATGATCCTGATAGGATGAGCTCTGATGTGATATCAGGGGCTCTGTGACCTGATAGGAAGGACTCTGTGATCCAATAGAATGGGCTCTTTGATTTTACAGGATACGTGATGGGATCCTAATAGGATGAGCTCTTTGATGTGATAGGAGGGGCTCTGTGATCTGATAGGATGGGCTCTGTGATGTGTAAGGATGGCTCTGTGATGTGATAGGATGGGCTCTGTGATCTTATAGTAGGGGCTCTGTGATCTGATAGGATGGGCTCTGTGATGTGTAAGGATGGCTCTGTGATGTGATAGGATGGGCTCTGTGATCTTATAGTAGGGGCTCTGTGATCTGATAGGATGGGCTCTGTGATGTGTAAGGATGGCTCTGTGATGTGATAGGATGGGCTCTGTGATCTTATAGGAAGGGCTTTGTGATCTTATAGGAGGGGCTCTGTGATGTGATAGGAGGGGCACTGTGACTTGATATGAAGGGCTCTGTGATCCAATAGGAGGGGCTCTGTGATCTGATAGGATAGGTGCTGTGATCCTGATAGGATGAACTCTGCGATGTGATAGCATGGGCTCTGTGATCTAATAGGAATGGCTCTGTGATCCTGATAGGATGAGCTCTGTTATTTGATTGGGTGAGCTCTGTGATAGGATGGGCTCCGTGATCTGATAGGAAGGGCTATGTGATCCAATAGGATGGCCTCTGTGATGTGATAGGAGGGGCTCTGTGATCTGATAGGAAGGGCTCTGTGAACCAATAGGATGGGCTCTGTTAACCAGATAGGATGAGATCTCTGATGTGATTGGATGGCTCTTTGATGTGATAGGATGGGCTCTGTGATCCTGATAGGATGGGCTCTGTGATCTTATAGTAGGGGCTCTGTGATCTGATAGGATGGGCTCTGTGATGTGATAGGATGGGCTCTGTGATCTTATAGGAAGGGCTTTGTGATCTTATAGGAGGGGCTCTGTGATGTGATAGGAGGGGCACTGTGACTTGATATGAAGGGCTCTGTGATCCAATAGGAGGGGCTCTGTGATCTGATAGGATAGGTGCTGTGATCCTGATAGGATGAACTCTGCGATGTGATAGCATGGGCTCTGTGATCTAATAGGAATGGCTCTGTGATCCTGATAGGATGAGCTCTGTTATTTGATTGGGTGAGCTCTGTGATAGGATGGGCTCCGTGATCTGATAGGAAGGGCTATGTGATCCAATAGGATGGCCTCTGTGATGTGATAGGAGGGGCTCTGTGATCTGATAGGATGGGCTCTGTGAAATGATAGGGTGGGCACTGTGATCCAATAGCATGGGCTCTGTGATCCTGATAGGATGAGCTCTGTGATGTGATAGGATGAGCTCTGTTATGTGATAGGATGGGCTGTGTGATCTGATAGGATGGGCTCTGTGATGTGTAAGGATGGCTCTGTGATGTGATAGGATGGGCTCTGTGATCCAATAGAATGGGCTCTGTGATCCTGATCGGATGAGCTCTGTGATGTGATAGGAGGGTCTCTGTGATCCTGATAGGATTAGCTCTATGATGTGGTAGGATGAGCTCTGTGATGTGATAGGATGGATTCTGTGATCCTGATGGGTGAGCGCTCTGATGTGATAGGAGGGGACTCTGTGATTCTGATAGGATTAGCTCTGTGATGTGAAAGAATGGGTTCTGTGATATGATAGGATGGGCTCTGTGATCTCATAGGATGGGCTCTGTGATCCAATAGAATGGGCTCTGATCCCGATAGGATGAGCTCTGTGATGTGATAGGAAGGGCACTGTGATCCTGATAGGATGAGCTCTGTGATGTGATAGGAGAGGCTCTGTGATCCTGATAGGATTAGCTCTGTGATGTGATAGGATGGATTCTGTGATGTGATAGGCAGTTCTCTGTGATCCTATAGGAAGAGCTCTCTGGTGTCATAGGATGGGCTCTGTAATCTGATAGGATGGGCTCCGTGTTCCTGATAAGATGGGATCTGTGATTTGATAGGATAGATGTCATGATCCTGATAGGATGAGCTCTGATGTGATAGCAGGGGCTCTGTGACCTGATAGGAAGTGCTCTGTGATCCAATAGCAGGGGCTCTGTGATCCTGATAGGATGAGCTCTGTGATGTGATAGAGGAGCTCTGTGATGTGATAGGAAGGGCTCTGTGATCCTATAGGAAGAGCTCTGTGGTGTCATAGGATGGGCTCTGTAATCTGATAGGATGGGCTCCGTGTTCCTGATAAGATGGGATCTGTGATTTGATAGGATAGATGTCATGATCCTGATAGGATGAGCTCTGATGTGATAGCAGGGGCTCTGTGACCTGATAGGAAGTGCTCTGTGATCCAATAGCAGGGGCTCTGTGATCCTGATAGGATGAGCTCTGTTATGTGATAGGATGGGCTGTGTGATCTGATAGCATGGGCTCTGTGAAGTGTAAGCATGGCTCTATGATGTGATAGGATGGGCTCCGTGATCCTGATAAGATGGGATCTGTGATCTGATAGGATAGGTGTTATGATCATGATAGGATGAGCTCTTTGATGTGATAGGAGGGGCTCTGTGACCTGATAGAAAGGGCTCTGTGAACCAATAGGATGGGCTCTGTGATGTGATAGGAGGGGCTCTGTGATCCTGATATGATGAGCTCTGTGATGTGATAGGAGGGGCTCTGTGATCCTGATATGATGAGCTCTGTGATGTGATAGGATGAACTTTGTGATCCTATAGGAAGAGCTCTGTGGTGTCATAGGATGGGCTCTGTAATCTGATAGGATCGGATCCGTGATCCTGATAAGATGGGATCTGTGATCTGATAGAATAGGTGTTATGATCCTGATAGGATGAGCTCTGTCATGTGCTAGCAGGGGCTCTGTGACCTGATAGGAAGGGCTCTGTGAACCAATAGGATGGGCTCTGTGATCCGATAGGATGGGCTCTGTGATCCGATAGGATGGGCTCTGTGATCCTGATAGGATGAGCTCTGTGATGTGATAGGATGAGCTCTGTGATGTGTAAGGATGGCTCTGTTATGTGATAGGCAGGACCCTGTGATCTGATAGGTTTGGCTCTGTGATGTGATAGGAGGGGTTCTCTGATCTGATAGGATGAGCTCTGTGATCTGAAATGATGTGCTCTGTGATCTGATAGGAGGGGCTCTGTGATCTGATAG